TTGACGGTAGTCGGTTTGAAAGCACACGTGCGCACAAGTTCATATTCGCGTTCATATTCGCAACCAATACGCGCTGTCTGTTCCAATTATTAATGATTATTGATCTCAACGGTATCGTGAGAGATAATATTTTCAATAAAACCTGCAAGATTTCCAATTGCTAAACATGAATGCTTTCTCATCTGTTACGTCTGCTAAACTAACTTGCACACTATCGGAAAACTTATATGATAATTCATCAATTTCACGAAAGTTGAATCATTACATTTCTTTGAATTTTAATCAATTCTATATTCACAACCTGTTATATATTATGAAACTATATCTTATCGCTTATTTTTTTTTTAGAATTTACATTACGAATAAATAGTACTCGTAGAATGCAGATAAACCGAGCTTTGAGAAAAGTTATATTAATTGCAAACTGACCTTTGCAATAGATACATTTCAAAAAGGTCAAAGTAGTTAGTACCTTATCTTAATTTTTAATTTATTTTACTGACAAGTGTGTGTAAATATACTCAATTTTCTCATCCACGGTGCGCCGTTCGCGTTAATTATTTATACAGGCAACACGATTGACTTCATTTCTCTTTTACTCATCAATCGAAATTATATATAACGAATACTGGACGATGATTCGACTACATATTTCCGCGGATAGCAACGAAACTGAAAAGAAGATTACGATGTTTGCAAAAGAAAGAAAAAAAAAAGAAAATATTTTAAAAGTAATATTTTAAAAAGTCCATAGGCGTAACCTAATGATTTATTCTATAAAAAATTTAATGATAATCACGGGTTGCTCTCAAGTATGGAAAAGTATTGCGAATAAATTCGAAACTTTTTGAATTAAACGCGAGATGAATTTCAAGCAACGCAAGACGCTTTGAATACTATAAATTTATTCTACTATAAATTATTAAATTTCGTAGCATTTTCTCTCGTCTTTTTAGGAGAGAAAAAAAAATGTATTATTCAAAGATCCGTAACAACTTTCTCATATTTTGTTTTTTTTTTTCTTTTTTTTTTCTTTTTTTTTTTGGATTTTCCTCTTTCTTCGTAATTAGTGCTCTCTAACACTATTCTACTCTCGTACAATGCGAACATGCATACCGACATAAGCTTGATGACTATTTTAACGTTTACGTTCGAAAGCTCGCACGTGCGATTGATTCGTAATTTAATGAGAATGCATGGGTCATATATCTTTCGTTATTGCCTCGGTACGTGATCCGGACAACGAAACGACCGCATCCGTTATCTCGGACGAAGCTATCGCGTTTCGTTTTTCCGCGTACGAGTTTTGCACTTTAATAATTATCCTTCTCCGAGTGCTTTTCATTGTTTCCTATAAACTACAAAAACGTCGAACTTTTGCACATTTTTACATAAGTACATAGAAATAAAATTAATAATTATATGTTACCCGTAACAAAATAATAACCAAACATTTCAACATTTTCCCGATCAAAGATGAAATTAGAAAAATTTAAGCAAAAAGTAATATTATTTATCACGAATTGTATCATAATTGGAATACTTCCATTATCTACAATAATATATAAATTATTACCATTCATACAAAACTTTAATTTAATAAATGATCGATAAAAATGTGTGTTCAAACAAAGCGTAATGCAAGTTCCAACACGCATAGGAGTCGTGATGAAAGGTACGAGTTTTATTTATTCAAGTCTCTTTTCTCTTTCAAGTTCACTTCAGTTCTATCTCGTCATCGGAGAAAAACGTTTCAAAGATACTATTTCGTGAAGAGCAACGAACAACTCGGTGTCCCGCGCGATTTGATACTCCGGTAACGGATAGGAAGAAAAATATTTTCATCGAAAAAGAAAACGAAAGAGAAAGAGAAAGAGGAAGATAGTCGAGTTGGTTAAATAAAAATTACGATTAAATCGTTTGCTCGCGGATTAATTAAATAAATTACGTATATATATTTTTGGTTGTTGTTGTTTAAAAAGTTCTTCATATAAAAATTAAAAATTTCTTCCAAAAAGGAGGGTAATGTAAATGTAAAACAAATAATGTAACGATACGGTTCTCTTTTACTCCCTCCTTATTTTTCTTTTTGTTCCTTTTTACAATGAGTAACTAATTTCAAGATATAACTTATGAATAAAAACATGAAGTAATTTATTAAAAGAAAGGAGAGAAAAAAAAGGATATGGGTAAAGAGAAAGAGAGAGGAAGGAGAAATGGAAGGGCGTGTCACTAGGGCGATCGAGGGTCGTTGAATAATCGAGGAAAATTTTCGAAGCGATCCTCCACAACGCCCAAGGGTGCAACCCAGACGTATTTTCAAGCGGGCCTCGTGCGAAATAAAAAAAAAAAAAAAAAAAAGAAAAAAGAAAAACGCTCGCGCGATTCGTCGAGACGAGAGAATACGGCAGGCAGAGGCACCCTTGTAAACCTTCCCAGTTTCTATTTCAGTCGATGGTAGTGGTCCCTTTAAAATGCATGAAACACCATCATGAAACACCGTCATGAAACACTGTCATGAAACATCATTCACCACCAACAGAACAGACCACCCTTCTTCTATTACGAACCAATCCCCTCTTCCTCTTTACTCTTTGCATTCTCGTCTGTTGTGTGCATCAGTTTATTACAATGTCTTGTGTGTATGTGTGTCTAAATCTCTAGCATAAGTCTTTAGTCACGACGTCAAAGGATACTACGATATCATCACTTCATATATTTAACTATATATATACACAGATACATATATATTATACCATTGTAAAAGTACCACTAGCTGTTGCTAATCATAAAAAAAGCCGTATTAAAAAGCTAAAAATCAACAGAAAGAAACATTAGTAAATATGATGTATATATAATATTATAAATTAATGATATAAATATACATTATATATAAAATAATATGTAACAACATGTAACATACTTTAATAATAAGTAAATACGTATAAACTTTGATTATAATAATCTAATAATATCATTTTAACGTAAGAATCTCATTATTCGTAAAATATATTATTCATCATGTATTTCTTTCCTTTGGAATACATTGGAGATTCTACAGGAAGAGAGCAAGCCCCTTAACGAATTTGTTTCCAAGTTCGTCGTTCTCCTTTCTGTAAAGAGTATCACGAGAACTCTTCTCTTCACCCAGCTTTACGTACGAGCTTATTTTTCGGCAAGGTACACGTAATTTATACTCACGTGAAAAAGAATGTGAACAAAAAGATAAAAGAAAAGAAAAAGTAAAGCTGCTGCGACTAGTCAAAATGAAGGTGAAATTTTGGCCGACTATAGAAATAAGGTTGTTCATATCGTCTTCTTACCTTCCTTACGCGAAGGTGCTATCCATAATATCGATGAGCTCCGAGATCGTTCTTGATAAATTGACCATTTCGTCAAAAGAAAGAAGATAAGCCGAGTCAAACGACGATTTTCCTCGTCGTTTCTGTTCTCGATCGTGACGTTTAGAAAATTGTCGAACGAACGTAGTTTTTTCTTTTGATTTGATTTGATTTTATTTTTTATTTTAAGGATCGTTCACTTGAACTTTGAGTGAGAGAACACAATAATACCGATCGTCGTTAAAGATCTCCGAGGATTCCCTTTTATCTTCTAGCATCATCGTGACTTCATTCTTTTCTTTTTTTTTCTTTTTTTTTTTTTCTTTTTTTATTTCTATTTTTTCCCTTTATATCATTTACTGGTATTTCAACGAATGAAAATGAGGAAAAATTAAAATTTTCCATCGTACGCTACGCGATTATTTGATTAGAAATTTGAACAAAATATGAAGAACGTTTTCCAATCCGTTTCGTCTCCTTTTTAAAAATAAAATAAATTATTAATAAATTCCATGATCTCGCGCGTATAAATAGTTTTATGGGCAAAATTTGATTCGAATGAAAAATACAAAAATTGGAACAACAAAAAATAATATTTTTGTAACGTGATAGATAGTTTGATGTCATCGAATAAAAGAAAGGATAAATGTTGTTTCTCTTTCTAAAGGACTTCTAGTCCAAAGTTTAAAGCGTAAAATCGCTTGACGTGTTATAAAATCACCATACTAATTTCTCCGGAGAGTTAAAATTAATCTTAATTACGGTAAATATTAGATATTAATTAATTCCAAAGTAGGCCGCTGCACGAGTTTTACGGACAACCGGGCTTAATGAAGCTTTCAGAAGGCAAGGATAACTTTTCTGACAGTTTCTGGTCCCAGGAACCTTCATTATTTTACAGATTATTCTGGTCCAACCGAGTACGATATTGTACGACGAAAATTTGAGCACTGTCGTTTGGATTGTGTCAAACGTTTAAACAATTCCAACATATTGTTATTCTATTTGACAAGTCTAAAGAAAAATATTATCGATGGTAACCGTAAATTTATATACGTATCAATGCGTGAAATAAAATGATCATATTAATACGTTCTGTTTTATTTTAAATAAATATTTTTTTCAAATGTTCTTTTTGTTCAACATAAAAAAAGGAAAGATTTCCCAAAAAATGACAATGCCTTTCACAACAGAAACAAAAAAATAAAACAAGTGGCAAATAATAAAAAACTTATCAGTAAACAATAGTTATTGGGATTGTTCTAAACCAGAAAATAATATTTCTTTGTCAGAAATGTGAATATATTAACATCGCTTTACGGTCGAGATACGTAGAAGCGCCATTTTTCGCGGAGAAAAAAAATAGGAACAAAATGGAAAATGTATTATCATATTTAATAATTCACAAATGTACTTCGTCATTTTGTTTGTTCATATATACCGTTTTCGTTATTCGTAACGAGCGAGCAAAAACTCACCGACAACGAGTCACATTCTAACAATGAGAAAATTAAACAAAAACAAAAAAAGAAAAACTAAAAAATAAAAGAAGAAAGAAAGAAAAAATACTTTCTGCACCGATCACGGAGAGAAATGAAACTTTTTTACGATTGAATCGTTTAAAATTGTGTTTTTGTTTTGTTTGTTTCTATCTTGCAGAAAAAATGCCACAACTCTGGAAAAATTTCATCTACAAATCTCCAGGACGGAATTATATCCAAAAGATTCTATTTACGTGGATGAATTGCTACGTCAAATGGCAACGCAAACTATCACTCACGTTGGTAAGTTTTCAAAATCGTTTATTCTTTCTCTTTCTTCTCTCTCTTTCTCTCTCTCTCTCTTTATAATATCTTACAAGCCGTTATATTATATCGCGTATCATAAGAAAGCTTTTAAAACGGGCATGTGCAAGCCGTTCGTTACGATTCGTTCGACGATCCGATAGAAATTTTTGTTGTTGTAAAAACGATCTACGTGACTCGTGCCAAGAATTTTTTCCACCTTCAAGTGAAAATAACAAATGGCAAAGGCCACAGCTGCTACGAGAAAGTCCATTTTCAATTTTGCGTTTATTCCGAAATTAATCAAATTCTTTTGAAGAACCAGCAGCAAGAAAAAAGGACTCATCATCCTTAGAGAGAAAAATCTCAGTCCGATTATTCTCGAGGAATATTTAACGAAAACGAAATATAAAACCGTTTAAGTTATCTCCTACTACCTACTCCGGGATGTATGTATAGGTAAAATATATTTTTCGATTAATAAATTATTCGAATCGTTCCGAATGATTCTATATACGGGGTGATATAATAAATGAAATAGGAAATTTTTACGAAACGTTAAACGTATATGATCATTCGTATTTATTTTTCAAACCGACTTCAAATAAAATAACTTAACATTCGTTCGGTATTATGAAATACATATTATATTCATTTCCAACGACGACTCATTAACGCGCACATATTTTTTCTTTCTTTTTTCTATAATTATTCGTAAAAAAAAAAATAAAAAAATAAAAAAATGTTACGTATCAGTATCAGAAATAATTTGATAAATATACTTTGCAACATTATCTATGGAGCCTACACCTCCCATACGTATATATATATATATATATGTACATATACATTTATCTATATATTCATATATCGCCAAAATTTCTCTCTTTTTATTTTTGTTTGCCCTCTGAACAATTTTCACACGAGTAAATGCGTGCGTCTCGTCGAATTAAACGGAATGCTTTATCGACGGAGGTTATCATCGAGCGACAGGGGATTGTTTGAAAAAGGGGATACATATTTTTCATGAAAGAATCCGACGGTTCGCAGAATATTCGTGTTATTTTGATAAAATGCTTTCCCGATACACACCGAGCAACAACACGGCGGAACGCGGCTCGATTCGGCGCGTGTATCGAATAATAGACGAAACAATGTCGTAAACTATAATCGAACAAAAAAGAATTCCTTCTAACTATTTCTATTCTCGTCTAATAAATTTTCACCCTTTTTAGTTTATCGACAATTCATTCCTTTTTGTTTACTTTTAATTAAGATCTCTATCGGTTTACTCGAATTCAATCAAACTAATCGCTTAAAACAGCTCATTCGAATATCTTCAATGATTTTAAAACTGAAAACGAGACTCAATTAAAAACAAATACTACGATGTAATCAATAATAAAATTAATATTATTTCTAAAATATTAAAATCGTGTTAATACGAAATTTGTATGTGTTGAAAAAAAAGAAAAAAAAATGGTAACTCTAACATCAATCTAAATCGAATTGTCTTCGATGAGCCATATACAAGAATGTAATATACACAGATGCGTAACATGCACGTGTATGCTATTTGTATCGAACGAAAATAAATAAACTCGAAGGATAAAAATAAAAATGAAAAAACAAAAAGAAGAAATAATAAAAAATGCATCTTTCAACGTCAATCGATAATCAATAGTTTCGCAATAGTGATCAATTTTTAAAAAATCAATCGAAAGTTACTCGAACGCGATACAAACTTAACATTTTCTATATTCTTAAAAGTTTCTAACTTGATTTTTATAAAAATTCTAACGGAAAGACGCATCGAGTTTTTTTGAGATTTCTTTTAGACAAAAGAGGTCGATCTAACAATTTAACTCGGCCAACGTTAACTACGTTATCTTTTTTTAGGTTTCCAATGTGACGTTCGTATATGAGAGAAAAAGCTTCAATTCGATTCTAAAAATCATTTATATTTCGAAAAATATGAGAGAAATTACAAAAATTAATTAAAAAATTAATAGTCACGATACTATAAATGAAGATCAAATCAATTTCATTTCCAACTAATAATAAAAGATCTAAGAATAGGATATCATCGATTCTCAAATTATGACAGACAAATATTTAATTGTAAATGAAAGACATTTATACAAAAATACAAAATAAATTAATATTTATAACATTTTCCGATATCTTTTATTATTAACGATTAATATCTGATCGATTTTAAAAACGCAAACTCGTTGTTTCATTTTGATAACATACAATATTAAAATTCGTTCATCATTGTTTCGACAAAAATAAATAAACTATTGAAAAGCAATTTTATTCATAACCGAGTCGTTCTACCATCTACGGTTTTGTTTCGTGAGCATCGTAATTATCGAATTACGTAAATGTCACAATAATTCAATCAGTTTGTACCAAGCAACAAAAGTTAATGTAATAATATTTTAACTCGTTATTATAATGTTAAAAACATAATGTAATACATATTAGTTAAACTGAAAATAAACTTTATGAATAACTACGTTTAAATGTAAAAGATTCAATTTGTCCGTCTCTATATTTATAATCAAATAAATCAACAATAAATAATTTAAACAATTAATACTTTGCTAATAATAATAATAATAATAATAATAATAATCATTTGAATGAAATTTCATAATAGAAGAAGAATAAGCGTTAATCTCGGATTACGTTTTACGTATTTCTTCGTAACACGACGTTTCTATCGACGTGAGAAGGAAATCAATGTGAAAACTGATGGGGATGGGTTTAAGGGGGGAGGTTAACGTGAAGAACAGGGAATTTAATGATAAAAGGCACGAGCCTTTAGAAGCTCGTCAAACGACGAAGCCTTCAGGGTCAAATAAAACGAGTCGATATCCCTATTAGCCTTTCAAAGGTCCAACGATTAATTATCTTTCGCGATAAATAGAGCATGTTTATCCGCACGTACTACCTACTCGATGATGCACGATGCCCATGGATCGCATGATTTGTAGAAAGAGAGAGAGAGACAGAGAGATCAGAGAAATGACATGATTTCGTGCCGCTTTCTATTCGCCATCGCGATAGCTCAACACGCAAAATTCAGGCGTATGTTTGCAAGATAGTTCTATGCCTAGTATTTTACTAACATAAGTTTAGCCAAGTATGAAATTGCATTATTCGCTCTATCGAATTTAAATAAACGATTTCAAGAAAAGATCGAGAATAAATAATATACAAGTCGAGGAAATACATATAATTTAATATTTTTCTTTTTGTTTTGTTAACAGTTCAGAAGGAAGGTGGTACTCAATTGAAATTAGTCATCGATTATGCGAACAACATGCAAGCACTTTTCAAGCCAATGAGGTAAGTAAACTCTTATCGTTATATTTAATATGTAATAGAAATGAAAAAGAAATTATTCGACATAGAATAATAATAATTATTATAAAATAAGCAGGATATATATCTTACGTTTATCTATTGTTACAAAGAGATAAAAGTTTGAAACGATATTTTATGATAATACGATTCATTATGGACATACTTTCACAAAACGAAATAAAGTTTAAATGGCAAATAGTTTTCTTAAGTCTTATGCATGCGGAAACGATAATAGTATTGCGGAGGTGGAAAGTTCGATATTTATCTCTTAATTGCAGTCAAATCCATTGCAAGAAATTAACAAGGGCAATTTGTCGGCTCGTTTGCAACTCATTTTCGGCTCGAATCCTCTCGAAAGAGTCTGGCATCCGATAGTCACATCCCCCCCGCGTACATGTACTTCGCGATAAGGGAATGAAATTATAAGATTGAAACATTGGGCAAGTTGATATAACGAACGAACGTTGAACCTGACGACAACGCACAGAATCAACGGTAAACAAACCTAAAATCCTCAGAGAAAACGAGAGAGTTTTCCTGAGTCTAGTGAACTTTTCCAATTTTACTATATATATATTATTGATATTACACAAATAGAGAAAAAGAAAAAAAAAATAATTTGCGAAATTGATAGGGAAGAGACAATGTTGCAAGAAACTTCGATCATTGCAGCCATATCTCATAAACAATATAACCAATAGCTCACACACATGTTGTTAAATACCAAGTCAGTAGTTTTTCCTGTGGTGCCGAGCAACGAAGTTACGTGGATGGGATTACGAGCACAATTACATAAGTGGACTCCCAAGTGCCTCGTGCCGTGAGAGACCCACTCGAATTGGCCTTGCTCTTTCTCTTTTATACAGCCTCCCTTTCTTCTTAGTTTCTCTCTCTTTCTCTCTGTCTGTTTGTCATCTGTCTCTCACTCAGCCTCTCTTGAAATAAACGATACGTCACATCCGCCATTGTTTCAATTTCTATTTGATACGATCCTCCTCGCAAGTAAGTGCGACGTCGTTCGTTCGAGAAGAAAATGTGAGAAGATGTGTGTGTTAGTACTGTCTTCTATACACATACACATCGCGAGGAGAAAAAAACCTATAAATCAAAAGATTCATATTACAAATATTTTTCTTCTGAATAATCGTTGATCGATCATCGATGCTATTACATATGACGGATTTCATTTCTTTACAATAATATTCTACGATTATTTATTTATCAAAATTTAACGTTGATTACTCGACCACGGTATATTAACGTTAAAACAATTTTATTCTAATTACACTAATCCTATTTGAAATTGATTCAATTGAAAAGGCATTTTTTTCTCTCTTTCTTACATTTTTAAATATTTCTTTATACTTTTAACACTACGAAATGAATTATCAAAGATAAAATTTCATAAGGGTTAAAAGTAATGAAGGAAAAGCAAGGAAGAATTGTGCCAAGAGAGTCCGAGAAAGAAAATAAAACAAAAACAAAAAGAATTCGTAATATCCAGAAGCGGAGAGAAAATTCGAGACAAGGGCCATCGTGTGGCTTATTGCATTCTATCTCTTTCTCTCTCACTCTTTCAATCTCTCCCTCTCTCTTTCTTCCTCCTGATGTTTCTTTTTCCATTTCACTCTCGCTCTTCGCACATTTGGCCCTTTAAACTTCCGGTCGGCCGAAGATTTTGCGATAAGTGGCCGAGCCGAGCTTAAACTCGTAATAAGTTCGGCAATAAGTTTCTTGAAAAGTTTTGCAAGAGAAAGATAGATAGAGAGAGAGAGAGAGAGAGAGAGGAGGACTCTCAGGAGAGAATTTCATCCGAAATTGCGAACGTCGTCGTCTCTCTCTCTCTCTCTCGGCCGATGCAACCAATCTCACCAACACAATCCTTGCAATAAGCTTCTCGTTACGCGCGTAAAAAAGACTCTGCGTGTTTGTTTTCAAACGTACGAGCAAGTATCTTTTTTATTTATCAATATACATACACATATAGATATCTGAATACGTACGAACAACCCTCATACCAATCCTTTTCAAGAAATCTAATAGAAAATACGTTCCATATACGAAACCCTAGAAATGTAATGAGAATTTTTAAATCTATCGTATCGTTCAATATTTTGCATTCAATCGTATTAGTTATATCGAAATTTTGTTCATTTTCAAATAATATAATCGACAATATGAAAATAATATTATGAACGTTCGATTTATTTTATTCTTCGAATATTATATATTTTAAACGTACGAATTTAATATTGTTTATTTAAATTAATTCTCTCGCATAAAACAGAACTTGATGGTGGTTTAATTGTACTTGTATTTATACTTGTTCGTTTTTCTTGAAAATAACAAACTCGCGACTAAACTCGAACCGATCGTTCCGTAATCGTGTTCTTCCTCGAGCATCCAAATCGAACATTTCTTTCCATTTTCGAATCGGTTTTTACTCCTATCTCTGAGCATTTATCGTTCAAAGTTTTGTCAAACTTCTTAGGAGAAAAACCTCTTTTTATATTATATTCGTGTGGATTTTGGACGGCCAACTTTTTCTCCTTTCCTTTTTATTAATCTCGTAACTTAAACTCCAGAATCTAATGGACTTCGATCGGATTAAAAACTTTCTTGTCGTCTAATTACTATTCTTGTCTTTGAATATTATAACAATGATTTAAAAAAAAAAAAAAAAAAAAAGGAAAGACTCGATTATATACGTTTAACAAATATTATATTTTTTATTTTCCAGTCATATCATACTTATCATCGAAATACTTAATACCATTTCATATCAAAAATAAATCTACGAATTAATTAGTATAACTTACATAAAACTCATGTATTCGATAACTGTGAAATATTTCTTTTTTAAATCTCCTTTTAATTGAATTATTCGCGATCGAATAATAATAATAATAATTTAATGAAATTCAACTTATAATAAAAATCAATCGACATTAATTCTTCTTAGGTTCAAGATTCCATTTATTATTCCATTTAGTAAGTTCGTAAAGCGTAAGATTCATTTGAATTTCATAAACCTTCTTCTTTCAACTATCGATACTTATCTCTCTTCTTCTTCTTCTTCTTTTTCTTCTTCTTCGCATCTTTCTACTATGCTACCAACTCACCCCTTTCCTTCCCCATAATCGAGAGGAGCGTGAAAGAAGAAAAAAAAAGTTTGAAAAACAAACAACCCTTGATACAATAGAATATTCTCACGAGTAAAGTGGAAGTTTAGTCGTATCAGGGAAAAAGAAAGATATATATATATATATATAAATTTTCTATACATTCGAAAGAGACCCACCTTGCTGTTGGTGATGCGATTCGGTTGAAGACAAGCGCAAACGACTGTTAACTTTTAATCAGATGCAAATTACGCACTAATTACAGTACCACTGATGTATTAATTAGTCCGGCTTAGAAGGAAAAGTTGTCAACTGCATAAGGCGAATTTAGAGATTTTCTTTCTTTCTCTCTTTTTCCAATTGTTCGATATGCAATTGTATAATAAACTGTAAATTTTTCCTTTGATCATTAACAACTCTGCAAGTGGTTGTTGATGCGACATTAAATAAATGGGGGGAAAAATATATAAATAAAGTATAAAAAACATAATCTACGAGATAGGCAATTCTTTATAATGTAGTGTAAAAAAAAAAAACAAAAAACAAAATAAAAAAGAAATTAGTTAAGAAATATAACAAACGAAAAGAAAAAAAAATAGAAAAAGCAATCGTACTTTCTCTCTCGCCGACGAGTAAATCAATCTACGTCTTTGGAGTATCACGTTTTTTTTTATAGATTCGATCAACGAAACGGAACGAAAGTGAAAGATCCGAATGAATGCTCTTTCATCGAAGATAGAATTGAAAGCGATGAAATAGAATACTCACTCGATGGATTTCGTATTCGGAAAACGCTTTAAAAATATCCGTTTCTTCTTTAAAGACAAAAAAAAAGAAAGAATGAGAGAAAGAGAGATCAGGGGTGAAAGTAAAAAAGCAAAAGAAACGAGAAAAAAAAAGAAAAAAAAATAGTAGACGTACTCTTCCGCTAGCTTTAAAGGAATTCATGCGACGTGCTCGAATTTTAGGTTCGGTGGTTATTGTCTGCAGTAGGTACGCGTATACCGGGTGGTCCCGTAAAACCAGCTGGGAGCTCATCGAGTAAATATTTGATCACGAAGAGGGTTTGCGATGCTCTCGTAGAAGCCAACGCTTTCACCCCGACCACCCCACTATCCTCCTTCTCTTCCTCTTCCTTTTTCAACCCTCAACAACCTTCTTCCTTCTTCTTCTCACCACACTATGTGGTGATCCTTCGACCCAGAAACCAATAAAACTTGGGGATTTTGTATTAGCATTTTGTCCAACTCTCTCAAAGTCGCTATCCTCGTTTCTTTTATACCTGCGCTTCTTCGAAACCGAACATACGAACTTGCAGATTTTCAATCGTAATATCGAGTATATACGTCTTTTATTTCTTCCTATTTCTATTTCTTAGAATTAATAATTAATATATGAACTATTTAACAAATTGTCTGAAATAGTAGTTTGTATCTACGAACGGAAAAATGAAAAAATTGATAAATAAAAAAGCAGAACAATGTTTTTTTCTCCACAAAATATTAAGAGAAAAAGTTTGAGGTGACGTTTGTTCCATATGTTGTTTTCGAGAAAGAACAACAAAATATTACGCGTAATCAAACAGATTCGTCGAAATAATAATAATCCATGTGACGTTATTAGTAACATGTTCGATTTAATTAACAGAGAATCGATCAGTAGATATATATTTAATTAAATGTTTACATCAAGCAAATTAGAACGAGGAGGGTAGCCGAGGCTGTAATCGATAGTGCAACGCGTCGATTTCGTTAATTTCATTTAATTATATATGTGTGTTTGTGCGTAAATAATTCCGATTCGATACGGTATCACATGTTCGTCTTCTTTTAGGTTTCCGCGAGAGCAACAAACTTTACCAAATCATTTCTATTTTACCGATTTCGAGAGACACACGGCAGAAATCGCATCTTTTCATCTCGACAGGTAAGATTTAAACATTTTTCATACTATTGTATGTTAAAGTGTAGGATCAAAAATGTTCGTTGAAGAATTTTTATGAAACAATGTTAGAACACACAGTTAAAGTTACAGTTTGCTATTATATATTATTCTAATTGTTCTTAGATTGTTCGGTTTTCGACGAGCAATGCCGGTGACGGGAAGAACGTTGAATATAACAACAGAGATTTACAACATAGCCGATGGCGAACTACTCAAGACCTTCTTCGTTAGCCCTGCAGGTAACCTTTGTTTTCACGGGAAGTGCAGTTACTACTGTGACACGGCGCACGCGGTTTGCGGCAATCCGGACACCTTAGAGGGTAGTTTTGCGGCTTTCCTGCCAAACAAATCTTTCGCTACGAGGAAAGCTTGGAGGCATCCTTGGAGAAGAAGTTACCACAAACGGAGGAAAGCTCAATGGGAGCATGGTATCGATTATCTTTCTCATTGAACCGTTACGAAATGACTTGTTGTTAATAATTATTTAGGATTGAAAGAAATTTGAAATATTTGACAGACTCGCAATATTGTTCACTGGTGAAAGAGATACCACCTTACGACGAGGGTCGGAGACTTCTCGATTTGATGGACATGTCAGTCTTTGATTTTCTAACTGGGAATATGGACCGACATCACTACGAGACATTCAAGATATTCGGGAACGACACGTTCACCCTTCACGTTGATCATGGTCGTGGCTTTGGGAAACCCTTTCACGATGAGACATCTATTCTAGCACCTATCTTGCAATGCTGCATGATCAGACAGAGCACCCTGGCCACCTTACTCAAGTGAGTCCCCTATTTCTAACGACGAGACGACAACGTCGGGATTTTCCCCGGAATCGGAATCGGAATCGGAATCGGAATCGGAATCTACTGTGTTTTATCGAAATTGGCATCGGTGGGCCGCTCGTGAATCTCACCTTCGATCGGCAAATTCGAATCGCGAAACGAGAGACGTTTCGTCGTGCCAGGGCGCGAAACGACGGCGACGACGATGCGTTTTTCGAATGCGTTCCCCCTCCGACGAAAACCCCGAAAAATACGAGCACGATAAATTCGCGCTAAAGTAGCCTCGTTCTCTCGGATTTTCTCTCCTCGGACAGCCCTTCCTCTTCTCTCCTCTCCTACGCGAACTTGACTTTTTTACGAGTCTTTGCACCGTTGTTAAAAGAAAAAAAAAGGACAAAAATCCCAACATCGTCGTTTCGGGATTACAATGTCGAGATTGTCCTTTTAATAAAATCAAATAATTTATATCAAAATTATTCGTTATCTCCTATATTTCGATCGAGATCAGATTTACGTTTTAATATGATAAATATGAATTAAATATATATATATATATATATTGTATATGTGAAAATATAAAATGTAATGATATAAAACTAGAAATACGGATGAAATAAAAAAAAAGAATTTTTCCCATATATAGTACGTGTTATCGTTAAATTCGATCGATACGAGTTACGTTCCAACGTGATAAATACGAATTAGATATAATTAGGCTTGCTTCCTTCTAAGTAGCGCTTCGAATGAAATCGTGCTACTTGTTAAAGAAACCCACACGTTGTCCATTAAATGCGATATTATAGGATAATAACTTCCTGCGACTACTTCGTTGCGAGCACTTTATCCTACTGTCAAAAGGGATACTGTCTTTAGCGAGCAGATCGTATCGTAAACGGTCATCGTTCTGATCCGATCCGTTCCGTTCCGGTCTGCTCCGTTTTCGATTCATTTTAACACATTAACTATTTATAAGATAAAATTACATTAACTTCTTGCGAGTCATTGTTTTTTTCTTTCCCCGTTTATTTATGGATGTAACCACGTTAAAACAATTTTTTACGATTAAAGAAATAACGAATAATTATGAAAATTTATTTCGATTCTATTCCATTTTGAATTTAATTCAAATATGCTATTTATTTTTCCTATTATTGCATTATTTCGCGAAATGTACCCGTTATCGTATATTACATTTTTATCAATGCTTCTTTCTGTGGATATATTTAAAGAGAAAATTGTTCGTTTGGAAATAAGTGGGATATTTAATTATTTCATAATAAAATACTATATTATTTAAACGGTTAATGTTATTTTTACGATATATCATTTAATTATTCAATTATTCGAATATTTGATATAGAAATGGATTTTCTGATTAAAGATTTCACAATGGACCGACACGTTTGAGCGTAGCCATGAAGCAGAGTATGGCAAGGGATCCAGTTGCACCAGTTTTATGGGAGCCCCATTTGACCGCTTTAGATCGAAGAGTTGGAATAATTTTACAAGCTATCAGAGATTGCGTAAACCGCGAGGATTCCGACCAATTGGTCGTCCAATCTGAGAAAAAAAAGAAAACTGCAAAATCCTAACCTTTTTATTTGACGAAAAGCACACAAATCCAAAATCCTCTCTCTGATGGACGTATCGTATGTACATACAAATGTATAATAATAATCATTACTATTATTATTATTATTATTATTGTTATTATATTTATATCTAATATATTCTTTCAATTATTTCCTTTTATAATATTCCTTTTAAAAACAAGAGGCGTAACTTTTTGTATGCTTGTAACGTACAAACAATATCGGCAAAACTATTTCTTTTTCTTTTTTATTTATCTTTCCTTTGAAAAGGAAGAGAAGCTCTATGTACAAATCAAAATATCTCTAGGGAGATTTTTCTAACGAAAAAAAAAAAGGAAATAAAAATAACAATATTTATAATAAAAGAAAAATAAAATACAACAAATGAAGAAGCAAGCACGCGAAAGAAAAAAACAAGGAAAAAACTTTTCTGTAAATAAATGTATCATAGAAATAGTGATGCGGGTATTTCGAGATATCGATCGGGGAGGAAAGAGGGTAGTCCATGAACAAACGCGTTTGTAATGACGTAGTTTTGTAATCAAAATGAATTAGATCGATCACGCGCGCTTGTAAATATAATAAAAAGGGAAAAATATAAATATTCGAAAGATGAAATCGTTTGAATTTCGTCCTCGTTTTTCTTTCCTAAATGAAATTTTGACGATTATCGATTATTTTTCTTTCCAAAGATTATTCTTATTTTTAATATGACAAAAAGAAAACAAAAAAAGAGAGAAATTTTATAGCAACTCGTGAAAATCATCGCTGCATACATTTGTATAATCTGTCGTATAAAATTATATTCCTATTTTGTTAAATATATTTTTTGAAAGTAAAAGAATTCGCTAAGAATATGTAATATAATATTATAAATATATAAATATGATATAGGATATATGTATATAAATACATGTATTTATGTACACGTACGTATGGATGTATGTATATACGTTTGTTCATTTGTTCCTTTTTTTTTAATACATGTATATCAGAACGTATGTATGTATGTATGGATGTATAAATAGCAAATAGATAAACATAAATATATTGTATATGCGTGCGAGAAATTTTGTATAAAACGTGCTTTTAATACGCGTGCAACAATTCTATGAACGTTTCTCATGTGCACCTGTATTCATCAATATGTCAAAGAAAAACACTTTTAATGACAATGATTATCGTTCTTAATCTTATTTATCATTTTATCCTTTTAATTCCTCATACCTTATATTTATACGTATAATTTAGAAAAATACAAAAAGAATCAAATTTGGTTGTTGTTGAGACTGAAAACTTTTCAACCCACCCGCGTATAAAATCGAAATAAATAAATCTTGAAAAAACAAAAACATCCCCCCATCGAACGAAATAATAATTGGATCCTATGTTTTCTTTAGTAAAAATTCAAACTTTATCGAACGATTTGTTTCTTTATATCCCGTTCTATTTTACATCGAGATAAACTCGATCCCGTTACTACTTTTCGATAATTTTCGAGAAACTTACTAATGATTTCCTTCGACTACGAAAATTGTCCATTCTTACAAATTATTGATAACTACGTTATTCTCCTCTTCAATTAATTCTTCTTCTTCTTCTTCTACTTCCTTTTTTCTTTCTAGAAAATGGAACTAAAAGTTAAAATTTTCTGTAAAAGAGATAGAAAAAGAAATAAAAAGTGTTAAGATAAGTTCGCTATAATTAGAATCCCGTTTGTTGAATTTTACGCGAATACTTTAATATCGTTTCTCTCACTTGTATGATGATACACCAAGGATAAAACATTTTAAAATGAAATATTTATAAACCTGCAGTCGCGCGCCGAAGCAAAGCGCAAAGATAAGACCTCGTTAACGAGAGGAAAAAGCAAAGCTTTTAATTAAACGAATTTACATTAAAAACAACACAAGAATACATTTTAATCGTTCTTCGACGAATATATTACAAATCGAGTATATTCCTCTGACAAAGAAACATTTCTAACAAAAATTGTTCTTTCATAAAACGGACAACAAGAAATTCAATATAAGCAATTCTTCAGGAATAAATAGAAATTATAATAGGTAAAAGTATAATACTTTATGTTTTTAAGTAAATACAAATTTTTTTGGTTTTCTTTGTTTAAAATACTAACCCAATAAACAAACTACCTTATAAGTAGTCTCAAATGTATCCTATAGGAAAATCATATGGTTAAAAAACAAAAAGTTATTGGAAAACAAGTCCATCTTCTTTTCTTCTTCTATTTCGTTTGTTTTTACGACAAATTTCTCCTCGCGGTTGAGATAAAATACGGCAATAAGGAAAGCAAAATACGTGAGTATATTCTCTTGTATTAGAAGTACATCGAACTTTCGATAGTAAACGCATTCAATGGGTTCCGTTTGAAAAGTATGCTTCTCCGTGTGTGTATGTTATCTCTACAAATTTGCGGCTGCCTAACTTTGTTTTCCAACACTTTGTTCTCGAGTGCCCTTACCCTGGCTCTTTTCGCTTAAACCCCTTACCACTACTTGCACGATGGAAAGACAAACGTCGTTGGATTTTTCTTCTCGATCGATAAGATTAACTACGTTAGCGGATCTTCCAAGGACGACTTATTGTTAGTTTTATCCTACTCTCACATTATGAAATGTCACACATATTACATACAAATACATTCAAGTACAATAAAGCAAACTGTCTCCCCAGTAATAATTAATATCGTTTATTATTTCACATTTTTCTGTGATAATTTAGACGACGTAACTTAAATAACAAAAAAAAAAAAACAAATAAGGGGGGATATTAATTATTGCTAGATTAAATGTATATTTTTAGTAAGGTTATCTTTTACTTTGTCACACGCTTCTTTTTCTATATCTTTTCCTATCATATTATAGAACTCTTTTCTTTCTTTTACTCTTGTTCACTGGGTATACGTAAGTTGTTTATATGGATTGAAAATATTTCAGAAACAAATATTTGATAAGCTTAAGCTAACTTATAACTCTTTAAATCTAAAACGTATACATAGTAACTTATAAATACACTTACGTAGAACGTATCACGAACTAGGTTGTTATACAAATATTATCTTCCATGTTGCCGATCGATAAACGAACTTATACTGCCATCTATTCGTACAATGTGCAAACTAACTTTGATGATAACGAGCCTCTGATGGTAAACATAGAATCAATCTACACATTATTACCGACAAACTTGTTCTATTTTCCAATACAGATATAAATATTTTCGAAGAAAAAATAAAACATTAAAATGATACTTAATAAAAATTAAAAATAGCAGAAAAAAGAGAGAACAATCAGAAGCGTGTTTAGAAATGTTTATTCTTCATTTTAATGAAGCACAACCACGGAAAATCATGCGAGTTGTTACTCGTGATGAATGCTTTGATACAACTTCAAACTAGTTAATGACCTAACGCGAAAGGAAGTATTATTACATTTCATGATTACACGAAGAGCAATCAAAGAACAAAGTTTGCGAATTGGGGGTAAACATCGTCACCCCAAATGTGTAATGAAAATTCCAAATTAAGCCCAAGATGTCTTTCTTAATAAAAATGATAAATCATATCGCAAAATGATGATTGGGATTTACAGTAATAAAGGAAAATAAGAAGAATTAATAACAAATGGTCGAAATATTAGTTTCCGGTATGGGATATGCTGTTGGATGCAATGCCGATTGCCGCCAATTAATATCTTGCATTATGCTATTAATACAAAAATCGTTGCACCAATAACCATATTGACATTGTCCACTATCTAAATGATAAAATGTACCTAAACCGTTTCTTTTTCCATCGATGAAAGAACCCTCGTACCGATTTCCATCTCCTGTTAATAGTTAAATAAAATAAACACATTTAGATGAAACCACTATATTGCAAAATGTAAGATATTTTTTCTTCGCTAAATTTGATTTTGTAAACCTTTAATAAACATTCCCTTTCCATACGACAAATCGTTTCTCCAAAATCCTTGGTAATAATCGCCATTTTGGTACCAAATGCGACCATAACCGTGACGTTTATCACAATGAAAATCTCCTTCGTAATAATCCCCATTTTCATACCAAAAATTACCAAAACCTTCTTTTTTTCCTATCATCCAATAACCCGCGTATATTTTACGAATACTACTATTTTTATATATTTTACTCAATACGCCATAACCGTGTTTTTGTCCGCAAAACCAATTACCCTCGTACATCCTACCATTTCTGATAATAACAAGTTCATAAAACTACACAAAAAGAAAGAAATCAAGGAAATTATTTAAACAAATACCTGTCTATGTCTGTACCCTTGCCGTGTTTCTTATTATCTTTCCATTCACCTTTATAATGTGCTTTCAAAATTCCTTTCCTTTGTGGAAGAAATATGGAACATCGCAATCCTTCTTTTTTGCTTTTTTCCGATTGTTCCTTATTAGTAGAAATTCGGATGCATTTTAAAAATGGCATTCTATTAAATCAATCAAAAACTAAGCGACGATTTATGAGATAAAATTTAAATTCACACGATAAATTGCAATATACTTGAATTAAAACACACATCTTAAGCGCATTTTTTCAACAAAAATTATCACTTATTATTTATTTTCGTTTTGACAAATTATTGGCTAACCTGATACTTTTACCATCATAAATATTTAATTTCTATCACATATTTATGTTGGCAACACTATGCGTTGATAAAAGCGTCCATCGTCTAAATCCAATATGGCGAAAAAACATTACGGCGGAGTCTAATTTGACTAACGTATTTAAAATAAATTGTGGCAAGTGTAATGTTTTTCCTTATTTTGTATATCGTATAATTTCGAGTGTATATTTTTTTTCACTTCATATTTCTCCCCGTTTTCTTAAATTTGAAAAAATAAGATTACTCGCATGGCATTGTATCAGTGTTTGTAAACTTATCAAGAAGAACGAGGGAAACAAGTTTTTATGTATAAAATTAAACAAATAATGATAAGTCGAATACCAGTTTGGGACATGGATGTTCAAGAATATATTAAATCGAAAGAAGATGAGTCTGTTTTCGATGAGGAAACTTTAATAATAGATAAGAACCAGCCACTATTTAAGGTTATATTTCAGAATGAAACTATTGCTCGGTGAGTCTTAATTTTTTACAAAGAATAAACAATAACTGTCATCAAATTTTACACATACATATATTTTCATTGTTCTATCAAAAATGCAAAATTCAATTTTCCATTTTTTTCTATACGAGTCATAGATAATTTTAATTCAACAATAACTTACATTTGTATGCACAGGAGAATGCGTTACTTAGGACACATCTGACATGTTTATGTATTTTATATTTTTAAGATACTCTCTAATGAAAAATTTTGAATTATATAACAAATGTAAACAATGCTACATGTTCCGATACATTTCTTATGTTACAGAAAATTTAGACATGAGATAACCATAAGCATAGAGGCTTTGATTAATTCAAAGAATAATATTAATCTATGCAATAACTACTCTGACCTAATATTAGAATTTTGGGATAAACCGAACGAATGTAAAGTTATTGTACCTAATGTGGAAAGCGAAAACAACAAAGATCTCTTTACTCTGGACACACAGCCTTTAATATGGCAAAATCATAAAGTACCTACGTATGACACGGTATGTTTTTATAAAAGTTTGTGTGTGCAATAATGTATACATATCTAATGTATATATTATAGTCAATGTATATATTTTGGGCATTGTATGCATTGCCATAACATATATATATATATAACATTTGTTTTATATATATGATCCAAATATAATATTGTTTTCTTTCTTTTTCTAGTCTTATAAATTATTTGATGAAAATAGAAAGAGAAAAGAAGAGAAATTAAATACTGGGGAAGAAAAAAACGTATGTAATAGAAAACTTTCATGTTTTAATTGTTCTGGAAACCATAACTTAAATGATTGTGTATTACCTTGGAACCAAGCTAATATAACTAAGAATCGTAATAAGAATCTTAGTGATAAAAAAAGTCATAAAGGTATAAGATATCATTTAGATGACTGTCAAAAATTCAGTCACTTGATTCCTGGTCAAATTAGCAAAGATTTACGTTACGCATTGGGCCTCAGAGATAATGAATTACCTTTGCATATTTACAGGTAAAGAAAGAAATAATAATTAATTTCAATCATTTTCATATAAAAAATGTAAGAACAATGCGTGCGAAAGTGTATGAAATCATAAAATTTATATGGATAAAATACAACATTTTCATTTCTTATAATTAATTTATTTTTCATAGAATGAGAGCGCTCGGTTATCCTCCTGGATGGTTAGAAGAAGCACGCTTGCAACATTCAGGATTATCTCTATTCAATTCGGATGGAGCACCAGAATTGGATCCTGATGAGGAACCGGGAGAAGTGATAATCATAGAAGATAAATATCAATACGATATAAACAAAATTGTAGATTTTCCTGGGTTTAATGTTTCACCTCCATTGGGTACTCGTGATGTAAGTATTTTCACAAATAATATTTTAATGAACAATTTATTATATAAATAATTTCTATGTAAATTTTGACTTTGATTAAAGGAACAAATGCATTCTTGGACTCCTGAATTACAATATGCTCATAGTAAGGAAAATATGCTATTAAATATGGGTAACAAGAAGACACCAGAAGGATATAAGAGGAAAAAATTAAAATTAAATACATCTGCAACAAGCAATTCATCTATAGTACCTAGCGATATGGAAATAGAAGATTTAAGTGGTAATTTCTTATCATTTTCCCTCACATCTACTTTTTCCATGAAAAATAGAAAATATTAAGTAAATCTATATATATAATCTTATTTGTAGGAATAGAAAGTATTGTTGAAACAGTACCTATTAATGGACATTTTATACCACCTTTACCAAAAAATATACCTTCTAAGCCTCCAGAACCACTATCTTCGTCATCAACATTGGAACAGTGTTCATTTGATAGTCAATCGCAAGATTCCATTGTAAGTTATAAATAATCTTATATGCTGTTAATTTAAATAATTATCAAAAAATATATTTATCTAGGATGGAAGCGTGTCACCATTGTCCAGGACAAATTCACCATCGTTATCAGATCTCGAAAGCATAAAAAAACGATTACTTGTAGAGCTTGAGGATTCCAGCTCGCAATCTAATCTTGAAACACCTGTGAAATGCAATTCTTTAAATAATACTTTGAAATCGGAAGCACCTTCACCATCCATCGAACACACACCACAATCCAATCTCTCACAAAATATGCATAATTCATTGAATTCAAGTCAAGGAAGCATAATATCAATAGATTTGGGCACACCAGTAGTACAAAGTAGTTCTCCTTTTAATAAATTACCGTCTTCAGACAAATTTTCAAAGAATATTTGCGACGTCATAAATTTTGAAAATTTACCAGACTCTACAGGTAAATACGAACAAATGACAGGAGTTCTACAAAAGGTACGAACTACTATGGCCAAAATTAATAGCGATTTGTGAAAGCTATTTAAATATCTAATTATCTATTAAAATATCTCAATCAGGGTTGAACTATATCTAATTGAAATAGTTGCAATACCAATATAATTTGTTACATACAAAGTTTGTACATAATATTTTAATATAAAAGATATCGTGCATAATAATAGCATATAATAATGCATTATTGTAGACGATAAGTTGGAAAATAATGGTTAATTATGAAAAATATTTAACTTTTTATTTACATTCTCGAAAATTTTGAAATGTACTGTAAAAAGTGAAAAAAAAGAAAAGGACGACTTGTTCGACCGCAGTAGATTAAGTCAATAAGTATATTTATAATTTAATCATAAATGGTACGATATTGCATAATAAAAAATAAGTTTTTGTAAATCAATGCTTATTTTTTACATGAAATTAAAAGTACAAAAATATAATAATCTTTAAATTTTTTAAACACTAAAATGCTTTTGTCGGATTCCATGAGAAAAGCATTTTAAAAATTAATAATCTTCTACGTTATTTTAAATTATTCACTTTTTGCTTTTGTTTAAAATAAATGCATTAAAAAATAATTGTTTAGAATTATTTATTATACATAACGTCAAATGAAATAACTGCCAAGCAATATAGTGGAAAAAAATAAAGAGAATGAAAACTTCTCTATTATTTTTATATATTATAATTTGTATACTATATATATTGGAATTGTATTGATTTATGTCTTTAATAGAAATTCGATTTTTAAAATAATTGAAATGATATGTGGATGATTTATGGTCCAATTTTCGAATCGAATCGTTCAGTCATTTTAAAAATAGACCAATTAAGTGATCGAACGAAATCATGTTTTTCTTTTTATTATTATTACTATTATTATTATTTTATCAGAGTTACATTTTTCTCGGTATCTTTGAAAATAAATGAAATTTTCTCTACGATTGTGTCAAACGATTGAAAAAAAGTAAAAAATTTTATTAAATTATAAGAGAGAAAAATATTTTTGGTACTTTTATCAGAAAAAAAGAAAAGTGATATGGAAAAATTGTCCCAGTTTTAGGTTCGCTATACATATCTAAATGTAATTTCGGTGTTTGTAAATACCGAAATAAATAAAATTAAATAAAATTAAAAATAATTTATACCATATATATAAAAAGGGAACGAATTCATTTGACAATACAAAAATACAAGAATAATAAAACAATAAAGTAACGAAACAGAATCTAAAGCAAGAATGTGCATGTAAACATATTTAATTGCTTTTTAATCATAATTTTATGTTATCGATGTATTTTATTGAAGCAAGAGAGACATACTGATAGTTTGTTAAGACAATCATCGTTAAATGTTGTCACTCTTTTTGTAATATCCCGTGCAATGTAACTATGCATATTTTTTATATTTTCTATCATAAAAATCATTATAAACTATGTAAAAATGATATCAGCAATCATTGCTTATCTCTTGATGAGAAAAATGATTTGCCATAGAAGTCAATTTCAACGTGTACCGAAAACGGTGCACGTGGCAGGAAACGTATTAATAAACTCTTACATTCGATCTATTCACGCGCACGCTTATGTAAATTTTAATTAATTTAAAAAGGAAAGAAAAAAGTAAACGAAATAAGAAATATTTATTAAAATATGATCAATCATTGTATATTATATTAGGATTACTGGCCATATGCGATTATTGGAATGGAAAGAATAACTTACATAATAAATCTTTCATGAGAAAATAATTCCTTTATACTAATTTTTAAATACGCCATATACCATCCCATTTTGCTATACAATCACATGTTATATTCCTACATTTATTATCATTAGTGCTAATATTTTACATTATTTCTGTACACACTGTATATACCCCCCATATACAATATGTAATAATAAGCATTAGTAGAAAGAAGTGAAGAAAACAAAGGGAGAAAAGGATAGAATAAAATATATGTATAGTTCCTATTAAAACTTTGCGTTTTCATATATATATATATAGTAATTATACCGTTCGAAAATTAATACTGAATTTTTGAAATATATTTCTGCATAGGAAAAGAAAAAAAAACAAATATAATTCTCAGATCACCATTTTTCCGATTCATAATTAATTAATTATTACCAATATTGTTGTTTTTGTCATTTAAAAAATCCAGCTATTAAAATAGAACAAAATTTGTCTATATCATCCATTCTTTATGTGCGTTTTTAATTTCCTGCAGGTGGGGGTGGTGGAAGATCATCGTTCGAACCCTAAAAAAAATTATCTTTTCTGTCTAATATTTACGGAACCAGTCGAACTATTATTTATAAATGTATTCATAATTTATGTAAATGACAATATATAAATAAAAATAAATATTTGATTCTAATTAATCAATAATTATTGCGAATTTTTCATAATTAACGTTAAATATTATTCGATCGACATAAACGTTATCACTTACAGATATGTTATCTCGATTTTTAGTAACATTTGATTCCAATTGTGGACGTCGAAGAGATCTTGGTCTGGTAATATACATTACAACCATAAATGCAAAAAATAAACATATTAGAAAAAAATTAGAGGACGACTCTACAGGAGGCGGTCCTGGTACTAAAAGAACATAACATTTTACAAATATAAAATAATTTTAATAAACAGGTACGATATTGTTAAAGAACAAAGTGATACCTACGTCTTGAGAAACTGAAACATTCAGTATCCGAACAGAAATTTTGCGTTTGCCGTAGCTGAAACAATATATTTTTATTTATAATTTGATATACAAAGAACAAAAATATTTATCCTATTTTTTTGATTTTATATACCTACAAGTAATATTCATGAAATTAGTCATTCATGATAATAAATGTATCGCTACGATGGCGAAAGAAATACGAAAAATATATTTGAAGGATACAAAGCGATTCTGCAAAGATTAATTAATTTTTTTATATAAATCATATAATGCGAAAAATAAGAATGCAATATAAGCGAATAAAAAAATGTTTATTGCATAACTAGCGAAATGATTAAATGTTACGCTTAAAATTATTTCTCTTGCGACACGCGAATTACGACCACATTCTTCACGAAATATACGAAAGCATATCAAATTTGTCGTCAGTTCTTATTAACATAATATTTGAAAAGATAAATAATGTAAAGAATATTTATTGCTAAAAACATTGCTGAATTTGCTGTTTCTTCGTAACGGTTAAAAGTTGAAATAATATTTAACAAATATTTTAAATGTTTTAAAGTAGAGATTAAGAATTTTTCGATAATTCCTTCTTGGTTTCGTACGGTGAAAAAATTCGACTTACGATATGAAGTAGACGTTGTACGAGTAATTCGTTACTCCAAAAGTATTCACAAGGATCAAAATCGTCACTCATTTTATTAACACAGGTATCTTCGTTATGTCTCGATTTTAATGGCTGAAACTAAAAGGGGAACGAAATATGCTATATACAAATAAGGTAAATAATTGCAAACGTGATTAAGGACGTGATCAGTCAAATTATATAAGAAAAAACAATTATTTAAAAAAATATATAATGATGATAATAATAAATTCAATGAGAAAGAATTCGCGACGTTTACATGTTTTACATTTTTCATCTTTTTTTATTTTATTTTATTATATGACGATACTTTACTCTAGGGGAGGGTTTCTCAAACTTGGCAACCCCCTTTACTCAAGCAAATATTTTCGCAACCCTATGTATAGACTGACTTTATACTATCTTTTCTTTAACTATAATAAATTCAAAGATGTGTATTACACGTTAATGTTACTCTAAAATTGTTTTGAATTAATTTTCGATCGTTGCACATTCAGAAATTTGTTTAGTTTCGTTAAAATTCCTACAATCCTCAAATTTAATTGCAATAATCAAAGACACGATCAATAAAAATAGCGAGAGAAAATATAACAAAATAAATTTTAAGAAAAAGAATTCAACGTTTACACGTTCCGTTTTTTTTATCTTTTACATTTTTATTTTATCATATGGCATTATTCTACGGAACATATGTATTTATATATGTACACATATGTGGCTTTAGCATTACCATATGCATTTTCCGACGCTTGGAATCGCTATATTATTATGATACTCTTATCAGTAAGTATAAAAATTATGTTCATGCGAAGGAAGTAGATTTCATACTTTTAGTTATTCATAGTCACTAACATGATATAATGACAGAACAAAAATTTATCATTCTAATACACACACACACATACAAACAATACTTTTTTTATAATTATTCTACAACGAAAAATTTATTTATATCTTTGCATACTATGCATTATTTCATTTGCCATAAAAAAAATAAGTAATAGTCCATCTGATAATAATTACCATTTATTTTTTTCTTCCGACATTTGTTTTTAACTTTAATCTAGAAAAATAATGGCCTGTCGCAATAATGTAAAACATCCAACATTATTTCTAAATACCTATCTGGAAAATTAATCAACGTCCGAATTTGTACCTTAATATTATTTTGTTAAGAATAGTGCAAGGAATGAAATTGTGACAACAAAATTATAGAATTCCAATAAAAAAAATATCGATAAGTTTGAATCTTGTAAAAAAGAAAATGATTATTTAAAAAATTGTTTTTGTCATTGTATGCGTTCTTTAAAATAGACTAATTTCGTTTGAGAATTTCTTTCAAAAATCCACAAATAACGGAAATATTCCAAATAATTATTAGGCTTCCCAGTATAACTCATTATACTATTATTACTATTAATTCTTTTTTAATTACGATTTAACGATTATAAACACGTAATTCGTAATACTACCTTAATATTTTTATATTAGCAATAAAATGATACTTAATAAACAATAAAGATAAGAATAATAATTAGAATGTAGCTTGCATTTAACATCAAATATTTGAACAACAATAAATAAAAAAAACGATAGAGAATAAAATAATCGTATAATTCTTAAAATGAATATTGAAGAAAAAAGAAAGATAATTAATAATAAAAACTAAAAAATATCTAACGAGTGTCTTTTAAATTGTACCTTGGAAAATGTGTAAATCGTTCTTCTGTATGTCCTTGTATGCGTCTTATGTGAGATCTGCGAGATGTTAAATTAAGATTCGTTTCTATGACAAATGTTAATTTTCGTCTAACACCAAATTAACAAAAATATTATTTAAAAATAAATACAAATATACGTGTGGACCATAAAATTTATATGGCAACAGCAAGAAAAATGCGTACTTAAATCTGTACGAATATGGTCAATGCAACTCACTACACAGAAATATTGTTTAAACAAAATATGTTACTAAACCTACATAAATATTTTCAAGAACACATAAATAAGATAAAAGTATCGAATGATAGTTGGATCACGATCGTAACTTGCGCTGACATAAAACTACAGTAGAACGTAACTGCAATCTAGACACGAGAGTGAGTAAATGAATAAATGAGTAAATGAGTGAACGAGTGAGTGTACGTATATGTGTTGTGTATGAGAGAGAGAAAGAATTAACGAAAGAGTGGGGGAGGGGGAAATAAAATACAACGAAAGAGAAACGTTATGAAAGAAGAGGAAGGGTGAAGAAAAGAGAACAGTATCACACATACGAACACCTTTACATGAATCTTTTAAGATTACAGCCCTATAAGATTGTATGAGTCATGTGGAGAATCATAAATGCATGTAAATGTCTATGTGTGCGACCGTGTATGTTACATTTGATCTTATGCATTTTTACTTTACAAGGAAAAACTGATCTCAAAACGTGTTAGAAAATTAGCTCGATTGATTTTGATAAAATTCAATTGCAGGATTAAATTTAAAAGACAGTTTGATTTTTGTTGTGTTACATCATTTTAAAAACAGTTGATACGCGACATACATTCTTTATTTCATTCTTTTTCTTCTATATCACTATCTCATTTTTTCTTTAAAAAATTGTATCAATTGACTCGAATGACGTATCGACATCTTTAAAAAACGATCTAACGTCAAAATAATAAGTTAAGAATACTTCTATATGCAAGAGAAAATTCTACGAACCTGACAACGTGGATCCCCGAACTGTCAAAAAATCCAGTCGATACACGATATTTACAAACACTAGTCGACCATTACATCTGTAGTACCCTCCTCTCTGATGCAAAAATATCAAAGTTTTTGGACAAACTATAAACCAACCAATGAGATCTAAGCAAAGAATACAGAAGTACATAGAAGCTCACAAGTCCCCTTTTTTATCAACCCAGTTTCATTTTAGTTACTACCGGGACCACCAGTAGGCGAAAGTAGATACTTAATGTAGCGACCTGCTGTCGATAAGCAGATTTCCACTGCATCCTATGCGACAACTAGCGCCGCCATCCTTACTGCTCATTCCCTAGCAAACTACTTTAGCACTAGCACTCTAGCACAGCTAACAGCGCTTCTAGGCGAACATTAATATTTCCATAGTTACAAGGAAATCACTTCCGATCCAACCAGTGAGCAATCGACACGCGTACCGACGAGCAGGAAATAAAGACGTATAATTAGCTACTACTTCCGTTTACTTCTTCAAGATTTTTTGAATTATTTATTACCGCGAATTAGCGAACACGCTACAAATGGTGACCCCGACGTGATCGAAAAGGATTCGCATAACCACGTGCTAACTTAGAAAAAAAGAAAAAAACGGACGACGGGATGGATCCAGCAGAGCTACAGCAACATCAGCGAGGCCCCGGGGACGACGACGACGAAGTAAAGGTCGATGCGGCACGCGCCGTGAAACTTCCACCGTTTTGGAAGGAGAACCCGGTCCTATGGTTCGCTCAAGCGGAGGCAGCGTTTCACATCGCTCATGTCACTAATGACTCCACAAAGTTTCAGCATCTCGTGGTCCATCTGGATCAAGACGTATTGCCATTCATATCAGACATTATAGTGGCACCGCCGGAGAGGGGTAAGTTCGAGGCCCTCAAGGCACGTATCATCAGCGCCTTTGATGAGTCGAACGAGACTAAGCTGCGAAAGTTGCTTCGAGGCAGCCGACATACGAATGAAAAACCAAGCCACATTCTGCAGAGACTACGCCATATGGCCAATGGCCAGTGCACCGAGAATATCCTGCGGACGTTATTCATGGAGCAACTCCCCGACTATATAGGGAGCATATTGGCCATAAGCGAAGTGACGGATCTAACGAAGTTAGCTTTGCAGGCGGATAAAATTCTGGAGGTGTCCAAGGCGGACGTCGCCACTGTAACGTCGACACCTGCCAGGGGAACGCGCCATACTACCGTGGACGCCGAGCTGGCTGAGCTACGGGACATGGTGAAAAATCTGTCGCTGGAGGTGAGCAAATTACGTTCTCGGCGCGACCGAAGCCGCAGTCGTAGCCGCAACCGCGGTAGCAGGGTCAAAGTGGACAACGGCCTATGCTATTACCACTCGCGATTTCAAGCGCAGGCCAGGAAATGCCGGCAGCCGTGCACCTGGGTTCAGAATCGCGATTCCGTAGACGCCCGTCGCCCCAACAGCAGTTCTAACGTCGACCGTAGCAATGGCAACGCGGGAAACTAACCGCGCCGTCCCGGATACTGGCGGAAGCGGACGGCGGAAAACGATACCGCCTTGTAATTAAAGATAAGGTTAGTGGCTCGCGATACCTCATCGACACGGGAGCCGACCTGTCAATAGTTCCTAAACATTGTGCACACGGCAAGCGTATTCAGCCTACGAGTTACAAAATGTATGCGGCAAACGGCTCGACGATCAAAACTTACGGGACAACCCTAATCAACACCGACCTGGGACTTCGCAGATCGTTCCCATGGATCTTTATCGTTGCTGACGTATCGCAACCGATCATCGGAGCAGATTTCTTGTTCMAGCATAATCTCTCCGTGGACCTTCGTGGACGACGCCTTATTGATAATCTGACGCAGATGTCATATCAAGGGAAGCTCGTGATTCCCACGCAAACAACCGTTTCGTCCATTTATCCTGACGGACCGCACATCAAGCTCTTGAAGGAATTCGTCGACCTAACCTCGCCGTCGGTCAAGAAAACAGCCGCCCACACGGTACGTCATCACATCGTCACGAAGGGTCCACCCGTATACGAGCCGGCACGTAGATTACCTCCCGACAAGTTAAAGGCCGCCAAGGCGGAGTTTCAGCATATGCTAGACCAGGGTATTTGTCAACCATCCAAGAGCCCATGGGCCAG